GACGCTCGTCTCTGTCCAGACCCATACACTGGTCCAGCGCCTACAGGGGGTGCTGGTGGGGAGGGAAGAGTCCTGCCTAACTCCGGGAAGATGCTGTCTGGCTGGGGGAGAAGACAGACCTCCGGGAGGGGTGCAGAGCAGGGCCCACTGCGCCCAAGAGGGAAGGAGACCAGTGCCCGGATGGTCATGACAACCCAAGTGACCCGTGCTGGGCGGAGGCAGCCAGGAGGGGCTGCAGAAGATGGCTGGGGAGGGGCCAGCTTCTTGTGCCAGGAAGCCAGCAAATCCAAGAGCGCTGGGGGGCACGGGAGCCGGCCGGCGCGGCTCCCCTAGCCCCTCTCGGATCTGGGCGTGACCAAAATAAACAACACGACATCCACAGAGCAAGACAAAACCCAGGAGCGAATGAGCACACAGACACAACGGCCGAAGCAATCATGACCCTGGACTGAGCTGGGGAAAGGTGTGGGCTCGGCAGGACGCTTTTGAGATCAGCAGAACCTGCATGTGGACAACGAACTAGGCCACAGTACCACGTAACACTGGATCTTCTGATTCCGGTGAGTGCGCCGGGGTTATCCCCACTGATAGAAGAGAATATGCTCTCATCCTTATGAAGAAGCCACTACAGGTAAAGGGTGGGTCTCAAGAATACACTAAATAACTCAGAGAAAACAAGCGTGCCTGTGTGTAAGTGAGGGGGACGAATCTGGATGTATCTTTACACCACCCTGTGTAATTTTTCTTTTATGTGAAGTTTCAAAATTAGGAAGTAAACATTCAAGTGTGAAACATAAATGTGACAAATATGACTTAACTCGTTTCTACTCAAAACAGCCCATCTTCTCAGGAAACTAGGAGCTTCAACAGCCATGACAAGCTCCGTAGAGGACAGAGGACAGAGCAATGGGGGTGCACCCTGCAGGCCACAGGGTTGCCACCAGACCCGATGGGTCAACAGGAAGGAGATGGGCAAGCAAGGAGGACACGGGATTTACAAAGTTGGGTCTGAGACACCAGCTAGATCCGTATCCCGCAGGTCACCTCCCTGACCACTGATTGCCCTGCCCTACCCCGTCCCGTCCCCGGGGGCACAAGCACAACCAGGTGACAGGCAGGACACTTGGAGCTGAAGGGCCATCCCATAAGGGCAGCCAGCCATTCAGACGGTGCCCTCCGGCTGGTCAGTGGCTACCTCATGAGAGGGGTGCTGGCGACGGGGAGGAGGTGCTGCCGGGACGGAGCCCAGCACACGTGGCACGCAGAGGGCCCGGGAAAAGCGGCAGGCCTGTACTCAGGGCTCCCCACTGCACAGGAGGCTGCAGGTGCTTTGCTCTCCCCTGGCTTGGTCACCAGCAGCTGTGAACCTCTAGGAGATTTGAAGGGCACCTCACCACCCTGGAGCAACTAACACAGCCCACCTCTGAGAAACCAGGGAGTGACCCTGAACCTCTGGAAGCCCCCAGGACAGCCGACCGTACTGGCAGTGCACCCGCGCAGGAGCCCCAGGAAGGGAGGAGCTTCACCAGGACAGCCAACAGCCGCCACCACCTATCCCAGGCTGGGACTGTGCACATGCGCGCGCACACGCACACGCACACACACGCACACGCACACACCCCTCCGCTTCGCAAGCACAGGGCTCACCACAGGGACTCACCTGGGTTCTCTTCTCTGTCTGGGAATTTAATCTGAACGTTATAGTCCCGAGTAATCTGTTGGATTTTGGAACCTTTGGGGCCCATGACCGATCGATGGAATTTCTGGGGTATGGCGCATTCTATGGTCACCTGGGCTTCCTGTGGGGAGACAGAGCAAAAAGAAAACAACCGGCAAAGGTTAGTTGCTTAGGGTCAAATTCACATCCACCGCTTTCGTTTCCGTCTCCCTATAGCCACTTCCCAGCATATGGACGGCCTGCGGCGCAGGGCAGGGCCAAAGGGGAGGCCTCTTTCTGAAGCGCTTCCGAAAACGCGTACTGCCCTGGACTGGAACGTAACAACATCCCACTGCTCTGCAGACAAAGGAGGGCCCCTCCCCCACCGCACCGCAGGAGGTGCTGTTAGGTGCCATCCCTCAATGGATGACGTTTGGAGGCTGGGCTGGTCCACAAGGAGGGTGAGGTTCTAAAGGCTGGTTCAGAAACGCCACATGTTTTCAGGGGACCTCTCCCCTTGGGAGGAGCGGGGGGCGGCAGGTCCTTATGGGATGCCCACCCACCATCAGGAAGGAGGCTGAACACCAGACCCCTGGCGCTGCCGAGGGAGCGCCCACCCGCCTCAGGGCCCGGAACCCTGCCAAGCCTCCCGGGCACCCACCAAGTCCTCGATGATCTCCTGGATGCGCTTCTTGGCTGCCTCTACGCAGTCCTTGGCCCCCTTGAGGGTGACCTTGTCGCTCTGTGTGCCGGAGCGTGGGAAGCTAACCATCACGCCGCCGTACTCCTCAGCGATCTCGCGCAGGACCTGGCCTCTCCGGATGACAAAGTGACGGTGGTGCTTGGGGTCCACCAGCATGTAGTCTTCAACCACGTTGTCCTGCGGCGTTGCGAGAAGGGCGCAGTGTGACCCGCCCTGCTGAGCGCGCCGGGACCCCGGGGCCCCCAGCCAGGGCCCGGCCCCCACCAGGCCTCACCAGGCTCCGGATCAGGGCCTCCAGCTCCTTCTGGGCCTCCCTGACGGCGCCCTCCTTCCCTATGATGGTGATCAGGTCCTGGTCCCTGTCCTCAGCCGCCGGGAAGATGACGCGGGCCCCGGTGCTGTCACGCACCTTGCGGATGTTGCCGCCTCCTTTGCCGATGAGGAACTTATGATACTCCGGCTTGGCGCGGATGTCGACAGTGAAACTCTTGGTTTGCTGCAGAAACCAACCCCACGTTTGTTGGCCTGAGCCACCTGCCTGGGCCCTGGAGCAGGTGACGAAGAGGGCCTAGGGGATGGCGCTGTGAGGGGGAGTTCTCCTCACAGTGCCACCAACGTCCCTCCAAAGGGGGCTACTCAAACCTCAGCAAGCACACAGACGGACACCCGGACAAATGGTACTCGCATTTCCTCCCCTCCACGATCAGAGACACCAAGGTGGGGACAGCACTCAGCCTAGAGCCCCAGGCCTGCCACTGACCAGCAGTGACCAAGCTTCTGCAAGCTGCTCTCTATCTCCATCTGCAAAGGGGACGTGGGCTGGGGGGACTGCACCCGCACAACAGGAAGCCCATGGCACGCCGGGAGCCTCTCCTAGGCCCAGGCACCCACACTGCTCCCGATGCCAGTGGACGGCACCCTGTCCAGTCCTCACTCCCTAGGGCTCCAGGTGACCTACACACCACCAGCTGCAACCTCCAGCTCGGAGACGGCCAAGCCAACCAAGGCCCACATCTGACACCATGAAAGACCCTGGCCCAGCGACCTCGCTGAGATGCCGGTTCCTCTGGCAGAAGCGCCAGGAGAGTGTGAGGGGGACACACACCCCAGGCGGACAAGCCCATGCCGGGCAACCACCCTCCTTTCTCTTGTCATGAAACCCGGCCCCCAAGCTAAATGGTGAACAGCCTAAGTCTGTTATCTTTAAGTGCCGGTTTCACAAAACACCACTGAGAATCCTCAAGTTTTCAGACAGACACTCACAAATAGCAGCATTCTAAAAAAGCTAATGAGTTAGCTAAGCCCAGCCCAGAAACATGATACAGGATGATGCATCAAAACCAGGTGGGGTTCACCCCGGAAACGCCAAAGTTGGTTAAACACCAAATCAATCTAATATCTACACTAAAAAAAGAAAAACCAGGTGATCATGTCAACAGATCCTACAATGCACCCATTCCTGATAAAAACGCTCAGCACACTCGGAACAGAAGGGAACTTCCTCAGCTGCATAAAGAGCAACTGCCAAAGACCCAGAGAGCATCTCACGTCCCGCACGGCCAAGGGCCGAGGGCTGCCCCGAGCCCATGCCAGGCGAGGCTGCCCGCTCACCATGGCTACTGAACAGCGCACGGGAGGCCCAAGCAACATAGTAAATAAACAAGACACACAGGCGGTACGGGGCAGAAAGAAAAAGAACTGCATGTTCACAGATGGTGTGTTTCACCTGTAAAACTCACAAGAATCCACAAAAAAAGGTATTGTCACTGATAAGTGAGCTGTAGACCAGATGCATAAAATAAGGCCGATATGCAAAAATCAAATTTGCTTCCACATGTGACAGTAACCAGAAATTGAAGTGCCAGTTGTATAAAAAAGTACCATTTATAATAGCACTAAAAAACAAAACAGATATAAACCGAACAAAATGTGAACAAGATCTTCACGCTAAAAACTACAAAACACCAATGAAAAACCAGAGTTGAAAAACTGAACTGACGTGGACTGGAAGGTTCACAACTGCTGAGACAACAACACTCCCTGCTTTGATCTGCAGATTCAACATGACCCCAATCAAAATCCAAGCAGGATTTCGCTCTAGAAATTGACAAGCTGGCTCCGAAATGCATATGGAAAGGCGAAGGGTCTAGAATAGCCAGAGCAATTTTAAAAAGCACAAAGCTGAAGGTCTCCCGAGACGTCCCACAAAGCTGGCCATCCACCTGCGGTGCTGCTGAAACGGCGCCAAGTCCACAAACAGGGCGGCACCTGGGTTTTTAACAAAAGGGCAAAGGCGACTGAGTCAACGGAGAACCTTGGGAGGTGATGGTCAAAAGGTTTTTATTTGAGTGGCGGTCACATGAACGTATGCTTGTCGAAACTCAGAGCTGTACACTAAGACTTACTGTATGTAAATCATACTTGAGGGAAAAAGCCCCAAATAACAAGCCTAACAGCAAATTTTCTACACTGAATATGTAGGCATCCGAGTTGGAACGGCCCTTCAGTGGGGGCAAGAATCAGAGACATACAGGTATATATAGGTGCTTGCTACCCTGCCACACAGAGAGGGTGTGTGGAGGCCCCAGCGTGACAAGAGGACGGACACAGCGACCCTCCTGGGCAGTGCTCACCTTCTCCTCCGCCAGGTGCAGGAGCTGTTTCCGGGCCTTCTCCACGTCCGAGGAAGGGCCCCTGATGATCACGGTGTCACTTCCCGAACCCTCCACGGGGAAGTGGATGTGGACCCCACCGCACTCCTCCATGATGGAGCGGATGAGGCGGCCCTTGGTGCCGATGAGTGAGTTGTGCAGCTTGGCAGGGATGGAGACCTCCACCTCGGCTATGTTGGCCTGAAATCACACACAGCACGAGCGAGCCAGGTTTTTGTGTGGCGGGAAAGGGCAGACATGCCACGGAGGGAAAGCCGTGATGTCACACGAGATGTCTCCCTCAGGTGCCTGCAGCAGAGGCAGGGCCGAGATGCCCGAGGACCAACCCTCCCAAGAGCCCCGTAAGCAAGGACCCTGCCTCTACTCAAGGCGGAGCACCAGGGACTGGATTCACCTCCCACGTGACACAGCGACAGAACGCCGGAGACAGGAAGCCAACAGGCCAAGCCTGGTCCCTGCCCCCGGCCAAGCCCCCGCATCAAGGATGCAGCCCTGACCGTCCAGGGAGAGAGCAGCCCCCAGCACTGCAAGCCCATGGGCTGAACGTGCAGGGTGACCAGCTGGGCCAGGGAAAGGACCGCCACAGACCCGGGACTAAGCACCGCTGTGATCCCACCCAACAAATCTAAAAAGCAAGTCCGAAAAGGAGCAAACTGTTTTAAAGTAACTTAACGACGCTCAAAGATATTTATAGAAATGCAAAAATATCCAGCACCCACCAAAGTAAACTTGGTAACATTTAGCATCCAATAAAAAAAAAAGAACAAAAAAACCGGACATACAAAGAAGTAGGAAAAAACAACCCATCACGAGGAATGAACAATGGAAAACAACCCAGAAACGACACAGATGTTAGAGCCAGCGGGCCAAGGACACTAAAACAGGTATTTTCATCACTAGACTACACAAGGTCAAAACGCCAAAGGCAAGGCTGAATGTGTCAAAGCATAAAAACAGATGGCTGAAACTGAACTTGTAGAGATGAAGACAATATATGGAAAGAGATGAAGACAAACTTGTAGAGATGAAAACAATATATGGAAGACAATATCGGTGTAATCACAGATCAGACATCACAAAAAACTAATGAACCTGAAGAGACTGTTGAAAGGAGGAAAAAAAGCACTCCTCCTTCCCAACCAAATAAAAAAAGCACTGGTGGACAGCAGGGCAAGGTCAAGCTGCCTAACACCAGGTAATCTGAGTTTCTGGAGGACAGAAAAAAATAGTAAGAAATAATGACCCAAATATTTCCAAATCTGATGACAACTCTAGCCCCACATATCCAAGAAGCTCGATGAGAGCTTCAAACTCCAAAGAAACATGAATGAAATTACACCAGGACACATCGTTTAAGTTGCTAAAAGCTGGTCATACGATCATTAAACAGGCCAGAGGAGCAAGGATCACATCAGGTGTCTCGTCGGAAACCATGTTAAGTGAGAGACACTGAGGCAAAGCCTCGAGTGCTGAACGAATGCCGCCAACCTGAGGATGTGGGGCTGGTGGGGATGCGAGATGGTGCAGCCACTGTGGAAGACAGTCTGGTGTTTCTTACAAAACCAAATGTTACTTTTATGATACAATCCATCTTACTACTTACTACTAAGTAAAAGAAGCCAGTATGAAAAGGCTACATGCTATTCCAACTATTTGACATTCTGGAAAAGGCAAACTATGGGGCCAGTGAAAAGACTGGTAGTTGTCACGGTTTGGAGGGAGGGAGGGAGGGATGAACAGCTAGAGCGCAGAGGATACGCTGACGTGGGTATATTTTCTTATTAAGATGCATGCAGGGTTTACGGTATGTCGACAAAACAGTGGCGGGGGCAGGGCTGGATGCCCACTGTTCTCAGCTCCTTACACTGCGTTTCAAGCAGCATCAAGTCACCTGAAGGCCGGCTGTGGGAAGTTGAAGATGTATATACCAAACACCCTAAAGCAACCACTAAAATAAAACAGAGGTATACCCAATAGGCCAAAAACGGAGGTTAAAAGGAATCATAACCCAAAAGAAGGCAGAAAAAGAAGGCAGAAAAGAGAACAAAGTAGATGGGACAAAGAGAAACAAACAGCAAGACAGCAGGTTTAAATCCAAGCGCTCTACGTAAAATAGTCACATTGAGGGGGCCAGGGGCTGGGGAGAGGGAGGAAGGAACTGTTACTTGGTGGGGACAGAGTCACCGTTTGGAAAGATGAAACAGTTCTGGAGGTGGCGGTGGTGACGGCTGCACAACAGTGTGAATGGCCTTAGTGCCACTGAACTGGACATTTAAAAGTGGTTAGGATGCTGAATTTTGTTTTTCAAACTTCACAATTTTAAAAATGGAAAAATTATAGTCACATTAAATGTAATTTAATTAACTTACTAAGTGTATGTAATAAAACTTGCCATACATACCACACAAACATATATAATTACTAATGTGATTAAAACGTAAACACTTTTATTTAAAAGACAGAGATTGTCAGACTGAATAAAAAAGCAAGCTGCCTAAAAGAAACTCACTTTGATAAGAGAAAAAGTAGATTTCAGAGAAAAGAATATTACGAGGATTAAAAGGAGATCATTCTACAATGCTGCAAGTTACGTATACTAGGAATGAGAAAGATGACATTACCAGAGACAGGAAAGAGATAATACGTGAACATTAAGAAAATTTTTATGCTAGTTAACTTGACAACTTAGATAAAAGAGGAAACCCCTTGAAAGACAGACTACAAAGCTCACACAAGAAGGAACATGATCTCCTGTGATGAAGCGTCACCTGGCAGTGAAAAGCAGCACTGACACATGTGACAACGTGGTGAATCTGGAAGGACCTGTGGTCTGAGAACAGCGAGGCCTGTGTGCGGGAGGAGGCGCCACGGTTCCCCTCACACAGTGAAGCAGGAAACTCACCCCAACCCACGGCGGCGCGGAGACCAGGGTGGATGGGGGGGCGCGCCAGGAGCCCAGTGGGGCAGAGGCGGGAGTGAAGGGGGATGAGGGTATTTCGGGGTGACGGTGTGCGCTATCTGGATTGTGGAGGTGACTCCAGCGGTCAAAACTTACACTGCACACTTTAAACACGTGCAGTCTCTTGCCTGTTAATTTTTCAAAAAATTGAAAATAAAAAAGTAACACCTTCAGAATGAGACGATTTCCAAGCACCTGAGTGGGACAAGTGGCAGGCATCCCTCGGTGGCCCACCCGGCCCCGCGCCCCAGGCTAGAGCACCCCGCCACACAGCGTCCCGTTACCAGGTCTTTCTGGATGGACAGAATGCGGCTCCGGGCGGCCTCGCAGTTGGCTCGCTTGCCTGTGATGATGATGGTCTCCGAGTTGCTGTTCTCTGCAGGAAGGTCGATCTTGGTGTTGCTTTCTTCCCGGATCTACAAGGAGTGAGGGGACCGTGAGGGGCTGACTTCTCAGGGCTGGGCAGCAAGGCTCCCTTCTTCAGCTCTAAAGCCAGAACAGCGCAGGGCTACGGGGGCAGGGGGGGCAGAGCCAAGATTCGGGAGACACGCCGGCCGGTCACCTTTTTAATGTTTGCACCTCCTTTCCCAATGATGTTCTTATGAAACTGTTTGAAGATCGGAACAGAGATTGAATAGCTATTTTCCACCTAAAAAACACAAAAGATGGTACAATTAACCGTCGTATTACAGATTGACTTGTCCTTCTTGTGCCTGAAGCTGGGACGGGATGACAGGATTCTGCGACCTACTTCTCTCCCCACCTGACCTCCAGAGATTTGTCACAGGAAAGGTGAGACAACTTATCCGACAACTGACCAACCGGGCGTGCCAGTCAGCTACCGCAAAGTCCCTCTCGTGAAGAGTGGTCCGCGAGAGCGCCTGCGATCTGTTACACATGTGTTCTACAATCCAGAAGTGCCTGGACACACACCAGCTCTGTGGGTGTCATAGCCAGGAGCAGAGGTGCCTGAGGATGGGCAGAGGCCAGGATGCCAGGCCTAGGAGAGAGCTCAAAATGCCCATCAAGGCAGCAATCCCCACCCTCCAGGGCAGCGCTGGGAAGCCCTCCCCATCACCCCTCTGAGGAGGTCAAGTCCAAGCCCCTGAGAACCCCTGGAAAGCACGGAGCACCTGCAGCCCTCCCACCAACCGCCCTCAGCACTTTCCAAACTGCCTCTTCGCATTCCAAGTTCTGAGGAAGATATCAAATCAGTATGTGACTTCTCAGGCTACTTGTGTAAACCTCTCTTCTCCTTACTGGGTGGGAGAATTTCTCTGCCTAGGTATCTGAAGACCCCTCAAGAAACAAAGCAGGGACTTCCCCGGTGACGCAGTGGCTAAGAATCCGCCTCCCAACGCAGGGGACACGGGTTCGAGCCCTGGTCCGGGAAGATCCCACATGCCGCGGAGCAACTAAGCCCCTGTGCCACGACTTCTGAGCCTAAGCTCTAGAGCCCGCGAGCCACAGCTACTGAGCCCACGTGCTCCAACGACTGAAGCCCACGTGCCTAGAGCCCGTGCTGCACAACAGGAGAGGCCACCGCAATGAGAAGCACGCGCACTGCAACAAAGAGTAGCCCCCACCTCGCCGCAACCAGAGAAAGCCCGTGGGCAGTAACGGAGACCCAACACAGCCAAAAATAAGTAAATAAATTAATTTATGAAAAGAAACAAAGTAACTCTGCACGGGAAAAGGATTTCTGCTGGTCTAAATACCGTAGGGTGGGGGTGGGGCTGCCCCAGTGCCCGGGCGTGCTCCTCGAAGCAGGGGTTCTGGGGAACACCCCCAGCCCCCTACTACCCTTGACACTGTCGCACAACAAAGGATGGAAAACGTCCCCTTACCAGATCTGCCACCATCTTCTGCATGTATTTTGTGCATTTTTCCACCTCATTCTTGGGCCCTCTAAGCTGGACAATATCACTTTTCTGTGCTGGGTCTGGAAAGTTGATGATGACCTAGAACAAATCATCAGGAGACCAAGTTTGATTATTAGTGAGGACTGGATTCCAAAATACTGAACCAAGAATGTCTTTGGGAAACCTTTACCTCTGGGAATTTGTCCCGAATTTCACGGATCCGTTCACCCTTCTGCCCAATGATTGTGCGATGAAATCTCTGCTCAATGATTAGATCCTTGGTACGCTCGTTTTCCTAAAAATACAACTGACCACAGTGAGGGGCGCCCAGGTGCACCCCTGCAGCACTGCCAGGCGTCAGCGGCTGGCAGAAAGCACCCCTCGCGGAACACCTGCTCTCGCCAGCAATGCCCACGCTGCATGTTACTCTGGTTGTGTGTTATTCTCCTGGACAAAGCAGAACGAAAAAACGGAGTGTAGGACCCTTCACCCAGAAGTGCTATTGCAGCAGCTCATCCAGCAAATTCTACTTAACGGGCGGGCTGCGAGGCTTCACCCTCTGCACAGCCCTCCTGAACACTGCGTGGCCCGGACCGCGTCCCTGTGCGGACGATTAAGGAAGAGTGGCTCGACACAGGGCACTGAACCCGTGTTGGCTCTCACCCTCCTCCAGAGGTCCTATCAAAACGTGGGAAGTACAAGAAAACAAGCAGAGCTGGAACACAGAGACACACACTAACAGCCACGCAGACACTTCAAACAATTCTGGGAGGTTCTGGATCAGACTGGCATCAGGGTGACAGAGAAACAAGGGTTCAGCAACCCAGTACCAGGATAAGGCACCCCAGAGCAAGGATATACCTGTCTGCATTTGACTCAGAAAACCAAGACACGTGTGTGAGGGCTGGTGGCTTAGTCTCTGGGACGGGGAACAAGGCACCACCCCCACGCTGGCTGTGCAGATAACCACAGAGCCATGCTTCTTGACCTTGGCTGCACACGAGAATCACCTCCAGAAAAGTCATCACTGCAGCTGGGACTCTGGGGTCTGGCCAAGGCTGAGCACCCAGAGCCCTAGCACCTCCCTAGCACTACATGGGGCCCTGGGGATGGGGGGGAATGAAGGAAACTCGGTACCAGCAAGTCACGCCCGCACCGGCCACCCTCTAGGACAGCACAGGAGGAAGGTGCTGCCACACAGCCCCAGCCCCAGCCGCGGGCTCACCATGCGGGAGGCGAGCTCCAGCAGCTCGCGCTTGGCCTGCTGCACGCCCTGCGGGTCCCCCTCGATGCGGATCAGGTTGCTCTTCTCGCTGTCGGGAGGGATGCGCACAGACACCTTGTACTGGTCTTTGATTCTGTTTACTGAAGAACACAAAAGGACACGCGCAACTGGATGCAGAATCTACCTTGCGCCACCAATGACTCACAACGCAGCAGGACAGGGCTAGAGCCCTCCCCAAAGCTAACCACTCATCCCATAAGCAAAAACTCCACAGCAAGACCTTCCATGTTCTACAAGGAGCCAGGTATGGACCACATGCTGGCACCTCCCTGAGAACTTCCAGCGTCCTACGGGGAGGGCCACTCGGTGCCTGAGATACAGCTGGTCTGGGCATGGCCAGGGCATTTCTTATGTGGAGACAGACAACTACTGTTCAAGTAAAAAAAAATTACTCTCAAGAATATAATAAAAATAAGCCATTAAAATCCAGAAGCTCCCACATTACCTGAAGATAAAAGCACCCCCATCGACCACCTTGGAGCCCATGGGAGGCCATGCTGTCTAAGGAGACTCCATCGTCAGCTCAGCTCCAGCCTGAGCACTTCACTGTCTTTGCAAAACCAGTGGAGCTGTTGACAACCCTCCTCCTGTCACCTTCTCTAGACAGAAATCCAGGCTCCCACACCCTGGGGAAGCCTCATCACCAGGAAATGGGGTCAGCATCTTGCCCACCATGTAGTAAAGGGGAACCAAGCTCCTTAGAGGGTCGCCAAGGAGGGATGTGAGCAAACACGGACACAGCCATGAGCCGACCCACTCGGGGGCTACTGTTCCAGGGCGGAACCACACAGGACAAGAGCCAAGGACACAGAAGCTGGGTGGCAGATTTTAGATGAAAGAAAACGAAGGTGAGGAACTGAACCAGAAGAAAACGGAACAGACACAATTCTCTGAACAATGCAAAGTGGCTCTGCACTTCCCAGGGAGCAGAAACCAGAAATTAACATCAGAACTGCACTTCCTTACATTTTCTGTTTAAGAAAACACTGCAGTTAAACAAAACAAAAAACAAAAGAAAGAAAAGCAAATTTATGGTATGTGCAAATTTATGGTGTGTGCAAATTTATGGCTCAAGCAGCACTAACTGGTGTCACTCCCTGTGGGCGTTTGCCTGTTGTTTAAAACGCTCCAGAACTCACAACTGACACCAAATAAAGCAGCAGCAACTAACTAGCTTACGTTTACTCTGAACAAAGAATGGACTGCACAGGGCAAAACCCAAGAGGGCAGAGGCACACAGAGGCATCCTACCTACACTGGCGGGGGCTGCCCGCTACCTCACCTCCACCAAAGGTCACACACAGGGGACAGAGCTGTTCTCAGGAGCACCGTGATGCCTAGAACGGCACTGAAGTTAAACTGAGCAAAGCAGTGGATTTCAAAAAACGTCCGACATCCGCGGATTCAAGCGGAGCGCTCACTCGGCACGTTCCAACTTGGGCACGTTCCAACTTGAGCCGGTTCAGTCCGCGGCTGGCCAGCCCAGCAGGGGCGTGGTCAGGGGTGCATGTGACGATGGCAGACGGCAGACCCCAACCCAGCAGGTCTGGCTGAACTGTGAGGACACGGCCCCCTGCATGCCTTCACGACCAGGCTCATCACGTTCACCTCTAGGCCCATCAGCTCCAGGCCAACCTTGGCCCTGGGGGAGGGCCCCTGCTAGGAGTCTAGGCTGCACCCCCCCCCCCCGCCCCC